TAAGGCAGAGTGTCTCTGTGTGTGTGTGTGTGTGTGTGTGTGTGTGTGTGTGTGTGTGTGAGAGAGAGAGAGAGAAGAGAAGAGAGGCCACTTACCCATTTCATTCAGTGGGGTTTGTCAAAAGTGACTTTATGTCAATATCTGTATGACATTGGCCACCTGGGGTATTAAAACTAGGACATTAGGTTGGCTCTGTCCTCTTAAACTGCAATTTGACAAATGTAGTCCACAGCTTTCTTTTATGTGATGAAAGACAATGGGTAGAGACGTTATGTTTCCAGGCTGTGTGCTTGAAACCATTCCTTGTGAAATATAGTACAACCTCTGTGTTCTTTCTTTTATAGCATCGTGAGAAATGGCAAGCTTAGAAACTATAAAAGAGAAGCACTTTTTGAATTGACACCTTTATAAGACAGCATCAGAGCTGGACGGCCCCTGCTGAGCTTTTGAACAGCTTTTGAACATTTAAAGTAATACATAGCTTACCCAAATACAACCTAAGCTGGATTTTTCATGTTTTATTGACAAGTTTCTTCTCAGATTCTTCATGCTCCACGTTTGCTTTTGTTCGTATATGGTTGTATTACAGAAATCGATTTGTTAGTATTTCTGGATGAATGTTATGGCTCCTCTGAAGGCATTTCATCAATCTGTCTGTCAGCTCTAAGGCTGTGAGTTACATGTTTGTATAGAGCACGATGCATTGTGGGACATTGTTTTATTAAAAGCGGCCACTGATGCCCTCCATACAAGCACACAGCGACAATTGAAACCTACTAAAGCTTCCTCAAGCAAAATTTTGCTTCAGCATTAGCACTTTAAAATTAAAATAAAAGTTTTCCGTTTTGTTTTTCCTTTTCTAACATAAGAAAATAATTTATAAGGGATTGTTGTGCTTGTTATGGCTGAGAGGTTTTGTAAACAGGAAAGTTAATCATGGACAATCCAGTAACACTTCCATATTGTTATTCTGATTATTTTCCCAGGGTCCTCGTGGTCCTAAAGGAGTACCAGTAAGCATTTGCTTTAATGTTTAATGTTGTGCATGAATTACATTTTGGATGGGCTTTAAGTTTTTGTTCAAATCTTATTTTTCAGGGTGAACCTGGTCCAAAAGGAGAGAAGGTAAAATCATGCATGAAATGCATTAAAATAGCAGTCAATTTTCTTATGATTTGTGAAATGGCCTTAGACGACTTTGTGTGATGGATTTTTATAATTTTTTTCTAGGGTGTATGTGGTGACTACACTCACAGGGTGAGTGAATGTTTTATTGAACTTATTGAGTTGATAATCTGATATCATAAACACTGTTCATTTATGTTTTAAAATATAAGCTATCAAATAGGTTATCTGGAGTTGAGTGCTGGAAAATCCTAAGCATATGTTTTCATTCCAGTTTCCGTGATATTCTTCTATTTGTCAAAGTGATTTTTCATGTTTACCCTTAAAAAGACATTTACAATGTGTTTGCGGTTAAATTAGAGACATTAAAATAATGGGAAATAAGGCAGGAACAATAGATTGACAGCTTGGATGTTGTCTCAGATAGGTAGCACATGAGCACATGCCAAGGCAGGGCCTCAAAGTTGATCAGCTCTCTCTCGGGGAAATCACAGTTTCGTGTAAACAAGGCAATTTTACCGACAGCCTGCTGAATTGGATTTGATAAGGCTCTCTGTAAAAGGCGGCCAAGTTTCTTATGTGGTGGATAGGGGTTTTTGGTAACAGCCCTGGCCTATTTAAAAGTCATTTTGGCCTTTTGAAGCTATTTTATCAATTATGTAATCTCAAAAACAGCACGCGATATAAAAGCAGAAAAATAGCCTTGGCAGTAGATGTTTCTACTGAATCTGTGTATAGCTTGAAAAAGAAAGAACAGTAATAGCAGCAGGACACAAGCTGATAGTCTTGTTTCTAAGTTTTTAATCACTGTTTTTATTGTGTATAAGTAAGTGTATGAAGTATATCATACAGCTATATCACATCAAAACAGAGCTGTTTTTCATGCATGTCGGCCAGGCCACATGGGAGGCAGTAGACTATTTAGAAAGCTGCTCATAAGGGTGGTCTTTTTGGGTGGTTGTGTACTATAGGTTCTTTGCAGTTAGGGTTAAACCCAAAGGTCACTGCGCTAGACTGAAAGGATACACCCTGCAGTGGTGGGACAAAAATGGGAATTATCACTTGAGTGTGTGTGTATGTGTGTGCGTTTATGTATCCGTATCCATGTACGTGTATTTGTATGTTGGGCCATTTTAAGCAGGGGCTCCCAATGAAAACGTTGGCAGCTTTGCGCTCCAGTCAGCCTCTAATGTTGAAGGTTTGTGGGCTGTTCGCTGTCCCTCATCCCTAATACCGTGATATGTGTGTTACAGTCCTGCTGCAAAGAGAGACATAGCTGAAAACTGTGCTCTAGTTTATCCACGTGCACTGTTGGAGGTGCAGAGAGGTGCCTGTTATTATAACTGATTGAAAACACTGTGGGAATTTATAATGACACATCTTAACACGCAGCTGTTCTGCTGCTTTTTCTTTGGCCTTCTCAGGGAACTTTTATGGTTGTGGTATATCATTTTAAGGTACACTATGCAACTGTAACTTTATACAGCATCAAAAATGCATCCAGTTTTTAAAGACATAAATAACATGTGTTTTTCATATTTTCATTGGCCTCCTTATGCATAGAGTACCTTAACATAATGTAACTTTCTGGTAAAATTGGTGAAAAACCTTCTGCAGGGAGATAAGCTTTAAAAGCACTTGCCTTCATGATTTGCTTGTATTTTCCTCTTACACTAAAATTCAGCGAGCCAGTATCTTGTATTTGAATTATTGAATGTTATATATACACTACTGTTCAAGAGTTTGGGGTCAGTAAGATTTTTTTTCAAGGATGTATTAAATTGATCAAAAGTGACACTAAAGACATTTATTATGTTATAAAGATTTGTATTTTAAATATATTCTGTTCTTTTGAACTTTCTATTCTTCAAAGAATCCTGAAAATAAATGCAAAAAACTCAACTGTTGTGAACATTATTAATAATAAGAAATGTTTCTTGAGCAGCAAATCAGCATCTTAGACTGATTTCTGAAGGATCATGTGACACTAAAGACTGGAGTAATGATGCTGAAAATTCAGTTTTGCATTACAGGAATAAATTAAATTTTACAATATATTGCAGTAGACAACAGCTATTTTACATTGTAATAATATTTCACAATATTACTGTAAGAGACAAAAAAAGTAAAGCATTCTAACCAACCCCAAACCTTTGAATGGTAGTGTATTTGTCATGCATGGTCCAAAAATCTAAAACCCCGTTAACTCTTTCCCCGCCAGCATTTTTTTAAAAAGTTGCCAGCCACCACCAGCGATTTTTATGATTTTCACAAAAATTTGATGGCCTCCAGTATATTTTTCTGTATGAATATTTGAATATGCAATACACCAAAATAAAGATCAGAGCCTCTACTTTTAAACAAAAAAAATCAGTTTTATTCTAGCTTAAAACATTCTTTTTTTTATCAAGACTTGAATATAGGTAGGTTTCATAAAAAAATGCATTATTTTGAGCAAAAAGGTGAGAAAATTACATTTTTATCAAAAACTACATCTGGATAATATTCAGTACGATTATCAAAGCATAAATCCAGTAAATCGCTTCCATCAATACCTCCAAAGCTTGCACAGACATATACCACTTCCTGGATCAACATTTTACTCCGTAACATTATGCAGTTTTCATTTATATGCTGTCTATTGCTGATGATCGCATTATTTTTCATATGCATCTGTTTACATAAGAGATCGCTAGTTTCTCCGTCCTGTTCACGTGTGTTTTTGTTTGGGAGGTTTTGTACTCATTCAGAAGATGCGTAATAGCACCCACCGAGTGTATAACAGTGAAAACACGAAAAGTCGTCTTTGGCGGGGGAAGCGTTTTCTTGTAAAAGACGAGATAACTCGTCAATGGCGGGGAAAGAGTTAAAAATGTGGTATTTTTTTTCCATTTAAACCTGGAAATAAACTAAATGTATTAGGGTTTTGAAAAATTTAAACCAACATTTGATTGAATTAGAATTAAAATGAGAAAGAATGCAAAACTGAAGCACTTTCAGTAGTCTTTAGTCCCTTTTAATGCATTTTTATGTGCAGTCCATTGCATAGAGTTATGAAATACAGGCACCTCCCAAGAAGGCAAGTTGTATTTAAGGTAACATCAATTATTAGTGGTGTACATGGGTCAATAACTCTTCAATCTGTACTTTACAATGCTGCTGATCTCAACAGAAACGCCGTATTGTCAACGCCTGTGCTGGAGGACAGGCCAAAGTAAGTCTGTTGCGAAACTCTCTTTGTGGCAAGACTAAATCCAGCCTGATCTACACAGCATTGCTGCAGAGTCACAGATGCCGTCACAGTGGAAATGAAGATAGAAACATTATCACTGATAATGATAATGTTTCATATGTAAATATTTTAATAGGCCTGTCAGTTGATTATCAGAATAAATTCAATGGCATTGCATAGACTTTACAAAAAGGGGATTAGGAAGTCAACACAGTTTATATGTTATCTATGTATTATTGAACATCAATCTTTTACCAATTTTACATATTAATTTACGATTAATTAAATAATTAATCAAAGTAAAGGAGTGCATTACATTTCCAGCCCTATTAATAAGAAACAGTGTAATCATATTTGTGAAAATATTTTAAACCTACAGAACTCCATTCTGATGGACCCGTGACTCTGTTCAATGATGCTGAATCCTTTTTGGTTCTCTCTTTCCCTGCTTCTACTTCATCTCTCTCTTTCTCTATGCCCTTGCCTTGCTTTTTCCTCACTGTTCACTCTCTTTTTCACTTGTTTTTCTGTTTTTTCCCTTCCCTTCCCCTCCTCTCCTCTTTCTGGCCCGTTTGACCCTTTGGCCTCCTGGTGAACTTGTTGGCCTGGTGGTTTTGTGCACCGTTGCCCACCTGTGCTTTGTGACCTCAGCAGATGTTGCCCATCACCGTCCGCAACATGCCCTCAATAAGCCCTCTAATCCTAAAGCGCCTCAAGGTACATCTCTCTCTGCCACCCTCGCACTACTTCCCTACGGATGCCAACCTTCGTCCACCCACTGCCAGCATTCACTGAGGCCATTAACAGCTACTGAGCTCTAGACACAAATCATAGCCAGTAGTTTCATTGTCATGATATGACTTAGTCCACTTGAAATACACTTATTTTATAAAATAATGTCCAATTCACAAAATTTATAGGCATATAAACTCTACCCCACAGGAAGAACTTCTGTCAGGCCTTTTCTGGCTTTTCAGACATTGCCCATCTGGTTTAACTGCGCGTTAGCGCAATAAAAGTCACTAATACATAATGGATTGTCCTTATACTGTATGTCTAGTCCTATTATAATTTTGGGCAAATTTGGGGATTGTTCAGGTATTTTTAAGCTGTCATCTGATTCATACCAGAAATCGACTACTTTTAGAGACTATTTTGTAAATAAAGCACTTAAAATACAACTACTAGAAAATTTTGGATGTGAGAAATGTTTTAAAGACCCCATGAAATCATAGTTTTTAGGTCATGTCTGTTAACTTTGAGGCTAAATTAACAAGTAACATTTACAAACCAGTACGATTTGTTAATATTAGATAATGCATGAACAATAAACTTCCATTTTTACTGCATTCTATAATATAGGTTAATATTAATTTATAAGCTTGCTATTGTTTATTGTCAATTCATGCTTGTTCATATTATATTAACGGACACACGTTATCTTAGTGCATCCTGGTTACAGTGTAATTACACAAATAAGTACTGAGTAATATTAATTAACTGCATATACTTACTGTAGATTTAGAGTTTGGTTTAGTGATTCTTGTAATTATGCATAATTTACTGTTATTGTTTGTATTGTATTATGTATATTTTACCAATATTAATAAATACAGTAAAGTATTTTTTATGTAATTTTAGATGTTGCATTCATATAGAGCCTTGTTGTAAAGTGATACCGTTTAACTTTTAGCAAAAATCTTGATGACATAATCTTGCACTCATCGTCATGTCCTTTTTGTTTTCTCTTTTTTGTAGTCCAGTCAGCTGCTCTCTAAAATGAAAACTAAGCTACATTCGTTAAGCCATTTCATGGGGTGTTTATAAGCTCACAATGTACATTTATATCCTTTGTCAGTCTACAGTTACTCATCAAATCCCTTAAGAACAGTGAACAAGACTCCTGCCATATTAACAAAACAAACAGAAGTTTCAAAATCTGATTCTGTAATCCACACAACAACAGTCGAAAGATAACTAAAGAATGAGAGAGCTTATTTGGCAACAAAGTTGAGTCTTTCCTAAAGGGAGATGTCAGCCCTCCACTTCAGCCTCTTTATTAAAAGGCTCTCTGCCTTTACTGCCCGCTCCACAAAGTGGTTGACCACGGTTGGCACCCGTCCTCTATCTTATTTCTACAGGTGTGTAGTCTGTGTGCACCGATTTAGAGTACCATGTTTGGAGACAATGGTATAGACTGTCGAAGACCACAGTGTTAGGGAAAGAACTTATAGCAACTGATTGGCTGGGTCTTCATATTGGGTCGGGTCTGTGCATTGGATGGAGATCAGGGAATATCTCCATTTAATGGATCTACATCTGGCCTCATAAATCAAATCTAGACAAGTCCTGTCAAGAAATAAATGGATAAAATATGGATCTGAATCTGATGGATGTGTTCCGGATTTCTCTGAGCTTCAGACTGCTACTGAACAGAGACGGCATTAAAGAAAGGCTTTTCTTTGTCACGGTATATGCGCTGTTTGTGGTTAATCAGTCTTGTACACGGTTGCCAGCATGTAGGAGGTCTTAATTTTCTGTCTATTCTAGCAGACTTGAAATTAATGCTGTTAATGGAAGGAAAATTATTCTAACTTAGACCGAGTGCAAACTAAGCCTCTTTAATGTTGAAAACAGACTTTTAAAAAAATAATTACACAGCAGAAATCTTAAATAATCAGTTCTCCTTATGGTCTCTTCTCAGGAATAGCAGGATATTGTTCAGTCCAGTCTTATTTCCTATTTTCACATCCCTCTTGCTGTGTAAATACCGGACACTTTCCTGTAGATGATTTTGTTTAGTCTTCTTCTGTGCTGAAGGTCTCCTCTTGCTGAGAAGTACCCAAAACAGGCCATGAGTGGATCATGTAGAGCGGTGGTTTTCAACTGGTGGATCAAAAAAGTGGGTCAGCAGGATAAGCATAAAGTAAATAATAAAATGCAACTATCTAGAATAGCGAAATAAATAGACTTATTAACCATTAAAAGGGAGAAAAATCTTCTTGTATATTTTGTTGTTCATGTCAAAGGCTGGACGTCTAATCAAACTCGCCCTCAAAATAACATGACCTAGACTACATGGAATTTGAGTTCACTTACAATGACGATAAACATGGTTTGTGCCGACCACAGTGTGCTTTGTTGTTGTTGGCTCCCAAGAGAACGAAACGATCGAAATTCAGTTCCCTTTCAGTCGGTCACATCGTTCTGCTCCTGACTACTCTACTGAGAGAAGAAGACTAAACGAGTTCAGCGCGCTCTTGGACAGCTCTTCGTGTTGGCGGTACAGCGCTTCAGCGGTGGTGGTTTCCCGTGTCGAGTGGGTTGCACACATCAGGCTGCAGAAGATGATCATCTCGGAGTCGCGGGCCAAGCTCCGTTTCCTCAAGGGGCGGAGTTCTGTTGCCTCTGCCTCGATCTAGTTCTCCTCATGGGGCAGCCAGGGGGGGCTACTTTAGGCAGTAGCGTGGCCGGTCTGAGGCACTCCGCAGCCAGTTGAGCTGCCGATGGAACGTGCTCCTTCAGGGAACGAGGGTTACCATACGTAACCGAGACGTTTTGTACAACAAAAAATTTTGGGTCGCCATTTGATTTCCAATTTTAAATTGGGCCTTGAAATAAACCCAGTTGAGAACCACTGATGCAGACCTTACTGAAGAAGATCTGTGAGGCCACAAGCAATATTTTTGGGCTTGCAAAGTTGAAGCCTTAAAAGCATTAAGTGTAAATGTGTAATTTTTCCAATCTTTTTCCCAAATTTATAAAAAAAAATGGTTTCACTATCCCTTTTTCCAAACATGGTACTTTATAAACTAGATTAACCACATCAATCATCTCATCCTGACTTTCAACTCAACCTTCAGGCCTGGGTTCCTCTCAGCTTCAAATCCACTGTTTCATCAGTATGAATATTTTTTTTAATTTTTCTAAATATAAATTTATAAAGGATTTCGAGTATAATAATCATAATCATATCTAATTATTGTAAATTACTGGATTTGAATCAGAGTGGACCCTGCCTCTGATGTTATGAATTGTACCTTATATCCAAATGACTTCTTTATCTCAGATGCTAACTTCCTGTCTCTCAGCAGGGCGAGCCCGGAGCTCAAGGACCACCGGGACCTCCTGGCCCCCCAGGGACTCCAGGCCTAACTGGTACTAGCGGGCCCCCGGTAAGTCACTGAAAATCATCTGCATCAGGAAATGTTTTCTACAGAACTCATGCTCGTTGTTAATCAAATATGTTACATGGTTTTCTGGAGTAAATAATTCTGATTGTTCATTTATGGGATTATGCAGTCAAATGTTTTTGGTATAATAACCATTATACTGTATATTTGTATAAGTCAGTGTCCCAGGCCATCGTCTCAGGCCATAATATTGTGGCCTCTTTTTTTCTCACATAATAAAATGTACGTATGTATTTATTTACCCTTTTGTGTCATCTGTGATTATGGCTGCACATTCCTGCATTTCTGTTTTTAACATTTGCACTTTTGCATTTGTTGTTGTTGGTTTTTTTTGTGTGTGTTTTAACTATCTATCTTCTCATTTTTGGGTATAGGGTAAACCCGGAGAACCTGGAAAACCTGGAAAAGACCCAAGAGTGAGTGTTTGAATACATGCGTTTTCTTCTTTACCTTTCTAATACGGGGGCTCGACATTAAGTAAAATAAACTCGGAAGTCGTTAATGCTCCATATGACAATGTAAACTCTAAGCTGAAAGTATGTTTGACACAGATTCTTGATATTATTTGACATGAAATCAGAAGTCTGTAATGCTCCATATGACAGTTTAAGCTTCAAACTGAAAGCGTGTTTCTATTTCTTTCATTTGTAGATGCTACCAGGGTTGAAGGTAAGCATGAAAAGCACACAGCTGTCCAGCTGCTCTGCAATGATAGTATTTTCCACAGGCGAGTCATAAACAGGCTCACATGAAGTTCACACACAGTTCAACAGCCTACAGGGTGGGTCTGCTCTGCCGTTGCCAGTACAGAAGGGGTGGATACGCCATAATTGATTATCCGTGTTGCTGTTGGATAAGTATTTATTTCCCCTGATGCGTTAATTGCCACTGAGTTTAGACTGGGGAATTTTAATTGTACTCCATTTAGAAGCACTAGTCCCTTATAGAAGCACATTTCAGCTCTCTATAAAGATTGCCTGCCAGTCTATATAACAGCTGTAACTAGAGGCTTTCTCCTTTGGACACGAAGTTCCCAATAAAGGAATACCGATCTGCTTATTACCCGTTTTACAACTGGATAGCTCAGAGTATATGAAACAAATAAAAAGGCTTCTCGATAAAAGCCAAAGAGGTCTTTGATTGTTTTTGCTTTTTTTATAGGGTGAGCCCGGTGTATCTGGACAAAAGGTGAGTGTGTCTATCATAGTACGTGAGCAGATGTTTGTGTTATCCGAAAGGCCATTCGTCAAATCCCACATTTTAGGACTAGAAATTTGGCACTGTTGTTGATTGCTTAAACAAAACTGTTAGAAACGGATCCTTCTTCTCAGAGGAACCTTCAGGAATTAAGCTGAACTGTGAGGGAGTGACATATCAATTAATCATTCAACAGAGTGATTGAAAACCACTAAGCTGAAGGGCAGAGCCCTGAATGTGAGGCTCATCAATCGCCATGCTAGATTAAGAGTTTCAAAGTGGAAAAGGAAACTTGGCACATCACTTTAAAGTCATGCTAGAGCACAGATAAAATATTAGTGGATTAGAGAGAACACAATTGATTGGGTCAAACTCCATTTTTCTTTCTGCATGGCCATTTTTCTCTAACCGATTTTGTCCTCATCTCTCAGGGTGATCGTGGTGAAGCTGGTCCAAGTGGACCTGAAGGCCCCAAGGTAGGAATCTGTAACCTTTGACTGGTTTAAGCAGCTTAAATAACTAACCTGCTCCACAGGTCAGCCATCACTTCTGGGTCAACTCATTACATAATCCCAACACAGAGGGTAACTTCAGATTGACAGCCCCCTTTGAGTCAGATTCAGAGATTACTAGCTTTCTACAGTGTGTTATTGTGTCAGTCAAAGTCTTGAAGTTTATGAAGGATGTAGGAAACACAGATGTATTACATACTCGCTTCCGTCTTTAATCAGGCCTTCAACAGAAGAGGGTGTTATCTAAAACAGTCTGTAGGTGACATCAGATACCCAAATCATATAGTTTTGATTAAGCCAGTGGGGTGGCACCTTTGTTGTTTGGGTTACAAGACTAAATACCATTGGAGCACTGGAGGAATTGCTCAAAGTACCGGGGGCTGCTGATAACAGCATTTGTTTGGGGTTTTACTGTCTTCCCCTTGAGCAATGTGCTTAACTCTAAAGTCATTGAGTGCATTACCCCTGAGGTAATGCGAGATTGAATTAAGATAGTAAATGGAGCTTAGTGTAATGCTATGAAAAGCATAAAATACGCTACAGTAAGTTTTTTAATGCCTTTGAAAGAAGTCTTTTATCTTCACCAAGGCTCTATCTATTTGATCAAAAATACGGTAAAAACACTTATAGTGTGAAATACTGTTACAATTTAAAATAACTGTTTTTATTTGTATATATTTTAAAATGTAATCCTTAAATTGAAACTGTATTCCTGTGTTGGCAAAGCAAATCATTACTCCAGTCTTTAGTGTCACATGATCCTTCAGAAATCATTCTAATATGCTGATTGCTTTATTATTTATCAATATTTCTGTGGAAACCATGATACCTTTTTTCTTTTTCTTTTCTTTGATGAATAAAAAGTTCAAAAGAAGATTTGTTTAAAAAATAAATAACATTATAAATGCCTTTACTATCACTTTTGATTGATTTAAAAATAGCTTAGCCTATGTACAGTTACAAGTGTGTTGATTGACACTTTGTGAGGGATACATTTTGGCACAAAAACCACATGTAATCTTTTCCATGTGGAATTGAATTTGCTTTGCTTTGATGCGACCTATATTGTTCGCAATCTTGGATTTGTGTTACGCTTTTACACATGTGAACTCTGGAACAACCTGCATATCCATTCCCTTCCAAATCTACCTTTGTGAACTTGAGCTTTCTTCCATCAGCCACGTAGTTCAGGTCCAACACACGCACCCAGTCAATAGCTAAAGCTAGATTGATAGTAAGCATGTCATACAGTGAGTTTATGGAAAATTCCTCTATACGATAGACTGAAGTTGCACTGTGTTTGTTACCTTTACATTCAATTTCATCTTGGCTTTTTATGGAAAATTCCTCTATATGAGAGACTGAAGTAGCATTGTGTGTGTTACGTTTACATTCAATCTCATATTAGCGCAGGTGAAATCTTTTGTGCTAAAGCAGAGAAGCAGTTATTTTGCACAACTGCACCACCTTCTGGATATTGACAGGTGCTGCGCCCATGAATGCTCACAAAACTGGAGATTTATGGAGGGAGGCTAAAATGTGTTCTCCCCTGTGATCTGAGGTTGTCTCCTGTCTGGCCTACTATTTTTACTCGGAAAAGAGACATCTTTACACTCATCTGTGAGAGAGGCAAAGGGCCAAGTCAATGGATTTACAATTAAAAGGTTAAAATCAGAGGAGAAATGTTATTCGGCACATTACCAACACAATTAATAAACGGCTGACTTTGCCTTCCTCCCATGAGACTTTATTTCTGAAAAATTACTGTCTGTCGTCTTCATGGATGTTTAGCTATTTACTCTGCGCTGCCAAGCCATACGGCATTGAATATGACAGAACAGAAATGTTTGCTTTAACAATTTCTCCACTAAACGGGAGACTGAATGGGTTGTTTAGATAAATGATGTTGTGAACTGAAACTCTGCTGACTTTAATGTTGCCCTGTTGCTGTGATAGATGTAAATTATTTGTTATAGACCAAGGAAAAGCATCACCTTTTGATGTATTAGAAGCTTTCATTTTGCATTTCATAGCATATTGATCACTTTGTTTGTTGTGTTTCTCTTTAGGGGATTAAAGGAGATGAAGGAATGAAGGTAAGGAACACATGTGGTTCTTGTTTTTACTGTTTTTTAAATAATGGTTGGAAGTTTAAAAGCGATGTGAGTTATTTTGTTGATGTTAAAATGCTTTCAACTGTAAGTAACCTGTTTGTAGGTTGACTGCCCCGTCTTTATGGTGCTATGAAAACATTGATGTGTTTGTTTGATCTTGACCAGCTCAACATAGCAACATTGACTCAACCAATAGCATGAGTTTGGGGGCGGGGCTATCTGTTTGATCGGCCAATGGCCAGTTGCATGTGGTGACGCATAAATTGCACACTTCACCTTTACATTTATTGTTATTCTGTGTATGGAAATCTCCGATTTGCATTCAGTTTTGATTATCATGTCATCTTTTGGATTTATTCAAATCAGGCATAGATCTGTGTTTTGTTAGATTCCAACCTGTATCTTGAAGGAGCAGTTTTCTATAGAGAGTAAATCTAAACATCTGAAGATTTATGTTTGTATGACTGTATCACATGTCTGAGGCATTGCTCCTAGTAAAGACATGCATCTGCTGGAGTGCTTACACTGTTTCTCACTGGGGAGACGTTTGCCCTGTAAACAGGAGTGGGACGCACGTAAAGTTTACACCTGCTGATGCACAAATAGTCCCTATAGGATACCGCTATTCCGACTGTCTAACTGCTTAATGCTGAGTGTTGTCCTGTAAAGCCAGCAATGATAGATGAGCAGAGCCTGAATGAACTCATCTTTGTGGACTGGCCAGGGAAAACACAGGGTGTGATATCTTAAAAGGGTCATATCAGGAGGAAGCCAATTTTCCTTGATAATGTACAATAAAAAAATAAGTCCAATGTATTATGAAAATATACTGTAACTTATAGAACTTCCTTCTTAGTCCCAAAAGGGCATTTACAGAAACTAAACTGAAGTTAAGCAACCTAAAGGCACAAACAAACAATAAATAAATAAATATTATTAATGACTGTTTTTGGTGCAAGCATTTCATTAAATTACTAACCAACTGGTCATATGTAAACGGGCATCAAGGGGAAAAAATATGACTCCATGAAATCAAAATAATCTTTTTTTTTTTTTTTCAATGTCTGTTATCTTTGAGGTCATCAATACTGTCAACATCTGTATCTTCTCTCAAAAAAATAAAAAAATAAAAAATAAAATAGCATATACATTTACATAAAAAACCTCATATGCACTGTTTCCTAAATGAAAGTTAGAAATGTTATCTTGACAACTAAAAGAAATAAGTTGAAGTACTAAAATTACTAAAGCTAAAACTGAAATAAAACTATATTTAAAGCTAAATAGAAAAATGACAAAAGCACGTAGTGTTTACTAAAAAATAAACTTGAATGTAGTGTTAACTAAAAAATAAACTTCAATTACTAAAGTTAACTAAAAAAAATGGATTCATAATAAAATACTGTAAGACTGTAGTAGTGTATAAATCGCATATACTATATATACTATATACATACTATAACCAACTGCCTTTGACTAGCAAATAGCATATCATGCTGTGGCTGTGATGTACTGTAGCTAAGGACTTTTTTATATACTGTATGTCCTGCCCAAACCTGTTTCAGTTGAAACTACAACAACAGAGGAAAGAAAACTGTGCTTGCCAAACAATTTCATGGGGTGTTTAATAAACCCTGTGTTCAGACGAGAGAGGAAGCAGAGGTTTGAGTCCATGGGCCAGACATCTTATGTGAACTCTGTGTCTCACAGAAATCCTTTACTATGAGTTTGATGGAATTTTCATTTCCTCTGCACATCCCTCCGCCTTCCCCTCGACCACCCTGTATAGTGAACCGTCCTGATGCTTACAGGATCAGAGGATTACTCTAGATCATCATCTTTATCGATTTATTGTTTCTGGCTTCTTAATTCAGAGTGTGCCAGAAGAAAAATCTTTCTCATCTGATGACTTTGTTTGGGATCACATGTCTCATGTCTGCATATGAGCTCCGGTTGGCTTCCAGCAGTTTGTGTGTATTTGTGGTGTGTGTGTTGCTCTGCTGAAGATGTCCCCATCTGTGCATTTGTGTAGGGTGAACCAGGGATGGATGGGCAAAGAGGAGAGAAGGGGGAGAAGGTACTTTGCCTGAGAAATGTAGTTTGTTATGCATTTAACTTTGGGTGGATTGTTTGTATGTGTGTGTAAAAAAAACTAAAATATCGTAATATTTTTGCATGATCAGCAAAGTTCTGATACTTCTTGGATACACTACCAAAAGTTTCGAATAATTTCGTTTTTTATTGTTTTTGAAAGAAGTCTCTTATGCTTACCAAGGCTGCAGTTATTTAGGCAAAATGACAGTAAAACAGCGTTATTGTGAAATAGTATTGCAATTTTAAATAACTGTTTTCTCTTTGAATATAATGTAATAAATAAATTGTAATAATATTTCACAATATTAGTGTATTTACTGTATTTCTGATCAAATAAATGCAGCATTGTTGAGCATAAGACACTTCTTTGAAAAACATTTTATAAAACGTAATTATTCCAAAGTGCTATACAAGAGCCATGAGGTTGAGACCTACAGTGGCCAGTAAGATTTGGTCCGTTCATCACACAGAGAGTCAATAATGACAGAATTTTCATTTTCGAGTGAAAGGTTCCTTTAAGTCGGTCCTAAATGTACATTCCTATAACTCATCCACCCTCATTGACTCGGCACCACTGGTAGACGCCGGCTTACGTTACCAAAGTGAGGACTCGCAAGGGCTGAGGGCAGGACAAATGCTTTGCAACTGAAACCAGGATGTGCACAAAGACATATGACTCAGTCCCAGAGTCATGCTGAGAGAGCAGAGGGATTGCACGCTAAGAGAAAAACAGGCCACAAGCTCAAGACATTCCCTACTTCCTTCATCTGAGCACCTGTGCGTCTGATTTACAGGCCTCTAACCCTGCTGTTTGTGGAGAGTCCCCTGTTACACGCTGCTTGATGGACTTAGCACACTTATTTTTGCTACCTGCCGTTGTCCCTGCCAAACATGTGCTGCCATACTCTTCGATTGTTAGGTCTGTTGTCATGACAGTGCTTTGTGTTGCTGCATTCGAGTGCTGTGTTTAAATATATGAATGTTTTCATGATCAGACTCAGCAGACATACCATCTGGGGAGCTGACAGATGAATAAGCACATCTGCAGCAGTGCTATATTTAGGATTTTTTATACATTTACTGTATATATATACAACTTGATCACTGCCTCTAATTGAATGCAGAAATATTTTTGTGTGGGTTTTGGGGTTGAAAGACGATTTGTTTGAAGACTGAGCTATTGCTTGTTTTAATATATTGGAATGTAAATAACATGATACACTATTATTCAAATGTTTGGTATGAGTAAGATATTTTGTGATGATTTTGAAAATCACTTATGCTCTCCAAGGCTGCAATTAGTTAATAAAAGTATACAGTAAAAAATTTGAAATATTATTACTATCTAAAATAACTGTTTTCTGTTTTAATATATATTCAAATGTAATTTATTCCTGTGATGCAAAGCTGAATTTTCAGCAGTCATTACTCCAGTCTCCAGTGTCACATGATCCTTCAGAAATCATTCTAATATGCTGATTTGCTGCTCAAGAGACATTTCTTATTTTTCATTTTTTTACTACTATCAATTAACATTTTAGAATGATATTAAAGTCATCAAAACTATGAAATAATGGAATTTATATAGTAAACAAATCTCTAGTCTAGTGACTATATTTGAGCTTTGTCTACATTTCAGCTCTGCTCAACTGACTTAATGAGGTGCATCCTGGGATACGTTTTAAACAGTATTGAAGTTCACATTCTGCAGTATGATGCACACTTGCTTTTACATCTCTATTTGTTCAAATTCATGCATTAAAAGACTTAAATTTTAAAATTTGTTACATTTTAAGCATTTCAGCCTAATAATGTATATAATGTACAATAAGTTTTTAAGATCATGAGAAACAGATTGAGTCCAGTGTGTCCAAACATTTAACTAGTATTGTATACCCACAATATTTTACAATGTCATCACTTTACTATGGTATCGCCACAGTAACATTTATTTGTCTTCCCTCAGTCACATCTGTCTCTGTCATTACTAGTCAGTATTAGGTTTTGTGTAGTGAAAGCCAGTGAACATTTTTGAGATAAAAAGGAGATAAGCAAATGCTAAATTAACTCCTTTTACTCCTGCGGCCAGCAGTGGGTGAGCCTCATCTGTATTCAGTGAGGCTGTTAAAGACTGTCTGCGTTTCTCTCCAATGGAAAAAAAAATGTAACACACATTTACAGTCAAAATCAGGCATGCACAAACACAGTGAAAGACACTCACTCATGTAACACATGTGATTCCTCTGCCATTAGACTCTTATGTCAAGTAGGAACGAGAGATGGTGGCGTGACATGAATTTAAAGTGCAGCACCTCAGAGATCAAATGAGAGCCGCTTTGTTTCGTTCTCTTTGACATTGGCTCTCAAAACTTCTCAGTTACACACTCCCCTCCAGACCAGGATTGATAAAACAGAGAACCCAAGGGCTATTAAAGCAATATGTCAGGAGAAGCCATGCATTACAATGATTTTACAGTGAGTTTTTATGTGCTACATGTGGCCACAACAGAATAAATGACTGCAAAAAGAATTTTTCTTCACATCCTAAAAATACATTAATTTGAAGTATAAATATTGAAGTACAGTATTAAGGCATGTTGTCAGAGAATATACTACTGTATTTAGGTCAGTAACATTAATACTTTTTTTTTGAGCAAGGATGCATTAAATTAATAAATGTTAACAGTCATTTAAAGACATTCAAAGAAAAAGTGCCATTTTAAATAAATCAAAGAATCCCCCAAAATTGTATTATTGTATCCAAACTCAATGGATTCAACATTGATAATAAAAAATGTTTCTTGAGAAGTAAATCAGCATATTAGAATGATTTCTGAAGGATCACGTGACACTAAAGACTGGAGTAATTATGCTAAAAATTCTGCTTTGCATCACAGGAATAAATTACACTTTAAGATGCATTAACATGGAAAACAGTTATTTGAATTTGCAGTAATATTTCACAATATTATTGTTGTTACTGTATTTTTGATCAAATAAATGAGCCATGATGAATGTCCTTCACAAAATGTTAGATTATGCTTTTTAAAGCATAAATCCAACATTTTATGAATTTTGTCAGAATGTTAAGTCAAACGGATTGCTATTACTCTTTTTGCTGCAAAAAATTGACACACTGCATCTTTAAGACTCAGAACTACATTTTTTTATAGTTGTTTTTCTCTTCATACAAGGACCCTTTGTGCAGTATATGATGCATGTTGATGTATATAAATGGAACTTATTAGGTTTAGTTTGGAAATTCCATTCATCCGTTTTCTCTTTATACCTCGGGCCAAGCACGTATACCATGCTCTCGTATTTCATAGGAGCCAAAGTAAGTCATTACTTATTACGAACTGTCCTGAAGGAATCAAGTTTGTCAGCAAAGAATGCAGACACTTCTCCGCAGTGCTGATGACGGTTCTCTTCACCTTCCCAGAGTTCCCCTCAACTCCAAAGGCTCCGTCCTCATCGTTTTTAGCCTGAAGATTAGCACTCCCATAAATCACTTGCAGCCTCTGTCAGTCCACAACTATAGCCTCTGCCTCACCAAGCGCTATTCGCTCTAAAATAGAAGCGGATGGAGTTGAAGGAGACATGACGATGGGCAGAGGGGCCTATAACGGAATGGTGTGAGTTGATTGGAAATGAAGAAGATCAAAGAGACTTCCTGTTTTCATCATGTGTCCAAGAAGTCTCTCTTTCATGATTAAAGTGATCAACAATCATTGTATCGTTCCATTCCCTTAACGGGACGGTAACATGAAGTCAGGCTCTTTCATCTACTGGGAACACAGATAAACTCACATACGACTCTCTGCCTTATCCAAACCCTGCCATCCGTTCTTGGTGCCTGATTGTACAGAGTTTATGAAGGCAGCTGAGTATGACAAGCAGTCTTGTCTCAGGCCCAAAAGCACACTAGAGTGCCTAGTATCATTAATACCGTATCAAACCACACACATATGGCGTCTGGCTCTCTTGATAACCTGCAGCTCTCTCCAAGGTCTGACCGCTGCACCTGTCAGAGCGGGTTATGCCACGCAAGGCTCTGCCACTTGCCCCCTGCTCAGACTCACTGGAGTCTTCATGCCATCTTTGACCTCTGCCCTCAACTGCCTGCTGTCTGGCCGCCAGTCTCCAAATGGCATGCGTTGTTTTCTGTAGAGACTTTCTGGACATGTTGTAAAACGCTTCTCGTGTGGCACTACCATGTAATGTAGTGATTGAGTGCTGGCTAATATACCTGTTTGTTTGTGTGTTTGATAACCCTACTAAAGAGACCAGCTTAAACTCGAGTATCCATACTGCTATATGCTGATTAGATGTGGTTTGCTGCTAGTCTAGTGATGGTTTGCTAGTGAAGCTGGTTGATTGTTTGGAGATTTTTATTTTTGAATTTTTTTATTATAATTATTTGTTAAAATACTTCTTTCTAAGAAAAGTGATGTGTTAAGTTAGTATTGCACTACTTATTCTCACTGAAGCTAAATGAAACTCCCTTTCCTCCAGTGGAATTGCTATGCTTGGCTTGCAGCCATTTCGTACATTAGAAATGCATTAGAAATGTATATTTTATTTGTAATTGCTGAACTCCACTGAAACTGCATTTTGAAGATAGTTAAATGTGTAGTTCACCCAAAAATGAAATTTGTCATCATTTCTTGACTTTCTTTCTTCTGCTGAACATAAAAGAAGATATTCTGAGTTTTATTTATTTATTTATTTATTTGGTCCATACAATGGAAGTCAATGGAAACCAAAACTGTTTGGTTACCAACTTTCTTCAAAATATCTTCTTTTGTGTTCAACAAAAGAAAATAAGTCATATAGCTTTGGAACGACATGAGGATGAGTAAACCAAGACAGACTTTTAATTTCGGCTCAACATACAGTCCAGTCCAGTGGTGAGCAGATGTGCTGGGAAATACTTGTTTGTCATCATGTCTAACAATCTGCTGAAGTGAAAGTCTTTCAGTGATGTTTTGCTTGCGTTATGAGTGCGATCTTTGGTTTTGGCTCGTGAATGTGACCATTTAAGTATTGAAAAGATGAGTAATTAATGCTGATTTTGCAGGGTGAGCTAGGGATGCCTGGAATGTCTGGGAAACAAGGAGTGAAGGTAGTTCACTTCTACTGCTGCCTCTATCCATCCCCATTTATTTATAATGAACTATCCTTTTTTCCCAGAACCCTGCATGCTGTTCCAGAAGCATTCCGCTGCTAAAACGCTCAGTCTTATCTGTTATGATTGTATGTAAAGCTGCTTTCACACCAGAGCGTGATTGATTGCTCATTATACAGGCACCTCACATATAAGCGTCTCACCATCTGACACTGTAAAGTGGCGTCTGAGACTTGAGGAATGAGATGGCAGGAGAAAGACGGATGGTGCCACTAGCAGTCAGACCCCCCCAACAGCCCTCGACCTCGATGGGTCGAGTGTCCGCATGCAGCCGCAGCTGTGTCTTTAGATCACTGCCTTCATGTCTGCTCATTGGTCTGAGATAACAGACATGAATTAAATAGCTGTGCTCTTTACTATTAATAGCAATCCAACTGTTGGCTCATTGCGGCACTGCTAGTGAGCAGCTATTTGCGTGCCTGGAGAGCAAAAACTTCGACATACCAATCTAAATATTGATACCAGCGCGTGCTGTCTAATCGCTTCAATAGAAATGATGACATCTGATAGACCCTTGGGGGTTTACGATCGACGTAAACAGTATTTGTCTAAATGATTACAGAGAATAATCTTCATTTGAAATTACGAATGACTTTTTCAGCCAAAATATATGATGCTGATTCCTTTGTTGATTTTCAAAGGTCAGGGTTTGAGGACGTGTTTAGGTCTATTCTCACAGTTTTTCTTTTCTCTCTTTTTGTTTTCCTAATGTTGATGCCTCGCAACCTTCAGGGAGAGCCTGGTTTCCCAGGTGTCCCTGGACGAAAGGTAAAGGCCTGGTTTGGTGTGGCTGTATCTTTAACACATTTTGCTGATCATTCTTAAAGTAATGAAGATTTTTCTGTCGCTATTAAGGGTCAGGCAGGTGTTTCTGGTATCCCTGGAAAATGGGGCTACAAGGTACACCCAAATGTGTGCTGTGGCTGTTTCTCGCATAAGTGCTAGATCTGATACTGGGCTTAAACCCTCAGGAAATTTTTTTAGATGTGATGTTGAATATTGAGGTTGAATTTTACTTACCAGTTTGCAATTTCGAACATGTATGGCTTTCTTCCGTGCAACACAGTGATTAATGTTTGAAGAATTTTTGCCAATTCTTTGAAATTTAATGATATTTTTAAGCTTCAAAATGAGAAAATAAAGCGCCATAAAAGTGGTCCATACAAATCATGCACCTTATTTAACCAACTGAAGTGTTATTTTAGAAATTATTTATGTAATATTATATTATTTATTGATATTATGTTTTACTGTAAATTTAAATGTAAGTTTTAGTAAGTGTGCTTTTGTTATTTTTATTCATATTTAAATATATCTCAATGTAGTGTGAATGTATTCTTATTTTTTAGTTTTAGTAATTTTAATATTTCAGCTGTTTTTTTTCCCGTAAGCAACATTTCTAATTTAAGTTTTTTATCTTATAGTAAAAGAATGGCTGAGTTTTTTTTTTTTAATCACCTTTAGTGTTCCACAGAAAAAGGAAAGGGTTTAGAATAAAAAGAGGCTGAATAAAAATAACCATATTTTAATTTTTCAGTGAATTGCATTGATTTGACTTTAATTACACATGCATGTCTAAAAGACTTCTATGAAGTGGTGACCTGACTGTCTGCACTCAATTCTGTTTGTTTTTGGTGTCAAAATGTATCTGTTTCATGTCATTTTCAGATATTGTTTTGTCTGTACTGAAACTTAACAATGTGGAATTATTACGTTGCGGTTTCACTAGACTTTGTGTTCCATTTATTTTCATATGCACATGCAAGCGAGCATTAAATCTGCATGGCTTGCAGTTCTGCAGGCAATGGAAGAAGACAGTCTGTTTTAACATTTTTAATGTGTTAATTGTTATGATTTAATTAGTGTTTCTGCAAAACAGAAGCCATAGAAGGTGACCTCATATTCTGCGGCCCATATTTGCTGTATTTCAGTGACCACACCTTTATTCTCACTCCCTGTGTTGAAGTACCGCAGCTGTGGTGAATTAAAGACGTCAACTGTAATGCTTCAAAAGCAAATGGGAACAAGATGCGCACACTAGAATGTTTTATACACCTTCGTTATATAGAGATGCATCTTGAATCTTTGAATGTTAACTCCTATATTGTTATTTATTGCTAGGGAGAGAAAGGCGATCCTAGTGCTGCAGGAGCTGGCATCAAAGGAGAACCAGGTGCCCAGGGACAGCCCGGACAAGCTGGACCCAAGGTACCTACCCCTCATTCTCCACCTTATGTCCACTGCTGAATTTCTTTCTTGATGTGGTGTGACATGCACAGTCAGTGGTGTGACATAAGCTCATGGTTTAGTCAGAATTAAATTTGGACTTTCATTGTTGCATGTCTTTTCGTAGGGTGAGAAAGGTGATCAAGGCATAAAGGTGAGCAATTGACTTTTTTAAAAATAAATAAATAAGTGCTAGTTCATTGCAACTCTACATGACCTTGTATGATTGTGATATTTTAAATATGTCCTTGGAAAAAATAGCACAATTAATGTTTTCGATTTGTAGGGTGACCATGGCCAGGAAGGCCCATCTGGACCAAGGGTGAGTAGAGGCCATGTGTCACTGACAGAGAAAATAATGCAAACAAGATACTAGGTTTGAATGTGATGTGAATGGCTGATATCAGAAATAATGCTATATATTATTGATTGTTTCCCCATTGCTCAACAGGGTCCACCAGGTCCAACCGGGGAGCCAGGAAAATCTTTAATCAACAACAATGAAAATGTATGTCTTTATTTCTGATGTATATAAATTTCTTCAATTTGATTATGATTTAGTTATAGTGCATATTCACTTCTCGGCCTCATATAACAGATTCAAAAGATTAATTTGTATTATGTGAAGGCACTAATTTTATTTTATTTTTTCAGGATATACGCAATGTGCATTTAATGGTAAGTGTCATTCTTTGTTGAGAAAAAAGTATTTATTGGAAAGCTGGATAACTTGATATTGTTTGTGTATTTGAGCACACACATAGATGAATAGACAACTACTTTCAGATGTTTAAGTATATATTGTTTTTATTTTAGGGCCCTCCTGGTCTGCCTGGAACTCCAGGGCTTCCTGGGAACCCCGGTTTGAAGGTAGCTGACCAACTTCTCTCATTCTTACCCTTTCTATCCTTAGTGTATAACTTTAGGAGAATTTTAGATTATATTCATATACAATTCTGGTGAGATCTGAGGAAGTTTTTCAGCAGCATGCATTCCATGGTTTAAGACATGTCATTGTAGGCTACCTTGTTCTTTTGCATTAAACATAACATTTTATTTCTCAGGGTGATGTTGGACTTCCAGGTCCCCCTGGTCTTGATGGGGAAAAGGTAAATAATAATTAACATTTACTATAAATGAAACACATTTTAGCCACTAATCTGCCATTAGTCCACTGGTGGATGCATTTACACAACTCTCGAAACTTCATAATGCTGAGTGATTGTACCTGTTTGCTTCTTAGGGTCCAAGAGGAAAGCCAGGAGAACAGGGACCCTTCGGCCCTCCTGGACCAGAGGGACCTCAGGGAGAAGGAGGAGTCATAGGCTTGCCTGGGCCAAAAGGAGACAAGGGAGACATGGGCCCCTCAGGATCACCTGTAAGTGACTCTACCCAGCATTCCCATCATATATAGTCTGTCTGACTACACCTGAATTGTTAAATAACCACAAAAGGTCTTGCATGAAAGAATATTCTGATATCAAAATATCATAATATTCAAATTATGTACACATCATGTAAATACATTAACCCAACTGCAAAGTTAACCAAATTAAGCCAATATTTCAGTTTCTAGAAATTACGAATATATTTGGTTTATGTAAGGAAAAGTTTGGATTCATGTAACCCTCGTTTGGAATATTGACTGTAACTGAATAAAAAAGAAAGCATGCCTAGTATTTCCAGAGGACAGTGCATTTGTATTTGCCTTTTTTGGGATAATTTGGTTAAAAGAACATATTGCAATAACTGTGGAACATGTAAACATCTTTTTCAGATTAAATGCTTAACCAGAATATAGACCTTAATCAGAAAATGAGTTGCGTGTAAATGTGGTCATTGTTATTTGAGCAAGTGGGTTCATGCTGAGTGCTTTGATGAATTTTGAAAGCGTTTGTGGTGGGTGGGCAGCATTGCGTCTTGAAAGCCTACAGTTTACTAATCATTAATCCTACATGTTCGATGCTATGAATTCAAAGGCCTCTTGGTTGTGGGCCTTGTTTACAAGGCTGTCAAGTCATGTTCATCAACCCAGGCCCCCCAATTGACTTTTCTGCCAACTTTAATGTCTATTTCCTTATTCTTTCCTCATTCTTTAGGGTTTAGATGGCCCTACTGGAGAAAAGGGGGTTTCAGGGCCCCCTGGCCATATTGGATTGCCAGGCCTAATGGTACGCAATGGTGCCCCTCAAGCAAACAGATTGTTGTCATTGTTGAAAAGACACGGCATGACTTTGGGATGCAGTGTATTTCGTCATGCCAGTTTGATGTCTTTTGAATGAATGGTAGAATTCAGTATTCCTATCCTTTTGCTTTTTCATAATGTCTTCAGGGTCAGAAAGGTGAACCTGGGGAGAAAGGAGATAAAGCAGAACTGGTATGTTCCACACTATTTAGCTGCTGATTGCACTGGTTAGAGGTTTTTATGTGGTTTCATTAGATAATAGGGAAATATATTGAATGAAATGTCTTAATGGTGACTTCCTTATCTGTTCTCTCTCAGGTCTATGGGCCTGCTGGACCTCCAGGACCTGCAGGGCCAGTTGGGCCATTGGTGAGGACAATGTCTACTTCATAAAAGCTTATGATAACAGCAGACATATTACATACATATCTGTGGAGCATCAGTGCATTTTTTTTTCCCATTTGATGGTGCATTTATGAAGAGAAACTCATTTTAAACATCTCAAAATGATACTGATTTCTAATAATTATTAATTTTTGCTTATCAGGCACCTCCAGGGTTGCCAGGACCAAAGGTAAGTATTCCAACCTAATGTAAAATGAAGTGTTATTTGTCTACTGCCATATGCTAAACGAGGCATTAAATCTCATATGTTCTTTTTAGGGAGAACCAGGAATAGGCCTGAGAGGAGAGAAGGGATCACTTGGACAGAAAGGAGAGAAAGGAGACAGGGGCCATCTTGGACTCCCTGTAAGTACATTTCTGATTCTTATAATCCAGTTTTTGATACTTGATAAACGTGCATTGCATTTATAGTCAGTACAATGTAAGATAAAAATCTGTCCGATATATCAAATCGCTCATTATGAAAAATACCTGTGATACCAGTGCATAATTAATTTGATAGTTTTCATACAATCTTGTCAACTGAATCAAGATGTTTTTGTCTTTCCTGAGTGCAGCGTTAGTGGAAAAGCATGTTTTGTTTAAGGTTTGTGCTTTAGCCAATGATGACATCTGATAGACCCTTGGGGGTTTACGATCGACGTAAACAGTATTTGTCTAAATGATTACAGAGAATAATCTTCATTTGAAATTACGAATGACTTTTTCAGCCAAAATATATGATGCTGATTCCTTTGTTGATTTTCAAAGGTCAGGGTTTGAGGACGTGTTTAGGTCTATTCTCACAGTTTTTCTTTTCTCTCTTTTTGTTTTCCTAATGTTGATGCCTCGCAACCTTCAGGGAGAGCCTGGTTTCCCAGGTGTCCCTGGACGAAAGGTAAAGGCCTGGTTTGGTGTGGCTGTATCTTTAACACATTTTGCTGATCATTCTTAAAGTAATGAAGATTTTTCTGTCGCTATTAAGGGTCAGGCAGGTGTTTCTGGTATCCCTGGAAAATGGGGCTACAAGGTACACCCAAATGTGTGCTGTGGCTGTTTCTCGCATAAGTGCTAGATCTGATACTGGGCTTAAACCCTCAGGAAATTTTTTTAGATGTGATGTTGAATATTGAGGTTGAATTTTACTTACCAGTTTGCAATTTCGAACATGTATGGCTTTCTTCCGTGCAACACAGTGATTAATGTTTGAAGAATTTTTGCCAATTCTTTGAAATTTAATGATATTTTTAAGCTTCAAAATGAGAAAATAAAGCGCCATAAAAGTGGTCCATACAAATCATGCACCTTATTTAACCAACTGAAGTGTTATTTTAGAAATTATTTATGTAATATTATATTATTTATTGATATTATGTTTTACTGTAAATTTAAATGTAAGTTTTAGTAAGTGTGCTTTTGTTATTTTTATTCATATTTAAATATATCTCAATGTAGTGTGAATGTATTCTTATTTTTTAGTTTTAGTAATTTTAATATTTCAGCTGTTTTTTTTCCCGTAAGCAACATTTCTAATTTAAGTTTTTTATCTTATAGTAAAAGAATGGCTGAGTTTTTTTTTTTTAATCACCTTTAGTGTTCCACAGAAAAAGGAAAGGGTTTAGAATAAAAAGAGGCTGAATAAAAATAACCATATTTTAATTTTTCAGTGAATTGCATTGATTTGACTTTAATTACACATGCATGTCTAAAAGACTTCTATGAAGTGGTGACCTGACTGTCTGCACTCAATTCTGTTTGTTTTTGGTGTCAAAATGTATCTGTTTCATGTCATTTTCAGATATTGTTTTGTCTGTACTGAAACTTAACAATGTGGAATTATTACGTTGCGGTTTCACTAGACTTTGTGTTCCATTTATTTTCATATGCACATGCAAGCGAGCATTAAATCTGCATGGCTTGCAGTTCTGCAGGCAATGGAAGAAGACAGTCTGTTTTAACATTTTTAATGTGTTAATTGTTATGATTTAATTAGTGTTTCTGCAAAACAGAAGCCATAGAAGGTGACCTCATATTCTGCGGCCCATATTTGCTGTATTTCAGTGACCACACCTTTATTCTCACTCCCTGTGTTGAAGTACCGCAGCTGTGGTGAATTAAAGACGTCAACTGTAATGCTTCAAAAGCAAATGGGAACAAGATGCGCACACTAGAATGTTTTATACACCTTCGTTATATAGAGATGCATCTTGAATCTTTGAATGTTAACTCCTATATTGTTATTTATTGCTAGGGAGAGAAAGGCGATCCTAGTGCTGCAGGAGCTGGCATCAAAGGAGAACCAGGTGCCCAGGGACAGCCCGGACAAGCTGGACCCAAGGTACCTACCCCTCATTCTCCACCTTATGTCCACTGCTGAATTTCTTTCTTGATGTGGTGTGACATGCACAGTCAGTGGTGTGACATAAGCTCATGGTTTAGTCAGAATTAAATTTGGACTTTCATTGTTGCATGTCTTTTCGTAGGGTGAGAAAGGTGATCAAGGCATAAAGGTGAGCAATTGACTTTTTTTAAAATAAATAAATAAGTGCTAGTTCATTGCAACTCTACATGACCTTGTATGATTGTGATATTTTAAATATGTCCTTGGAAAAAATAGCACAATTAATGTTTTCGATTTGTAGGGTGACCATGGCCAGGAAGGCCCATCTGGACCAAGGGTGAGTAGAGGCCATGTGTCACTGACAGAGAAAATAATGCAAACAAGATACTAGGTTTGAATGTGATGTGAATGGCTGATATCAGAAATAATGCTATATATTATTGATTGTTTCCCCATTGCTCAACAGGGTCCACCAGGTCCAACCGGGGAGCCAGGAAAATCTTTAATCAACAACAATGAAAATGTATGTCTTTATTTCTGATGTATATAAATTTCTTCAATTTGATTATGATTTAGTTATAGTGCATATTCACTTCTCGGCCTCATATAACAGATTCAAAAGATTAATTTGTATTATGTGAAGGCACTAATTTTATTTTATTTTTTCAGGATATACGCAATGTGCATTTAATGGTAAGTGTCATTCTTTGTTGAGAAAAAAGTATTTATTGGAAAGCTGGATAACTTGATATTGTTTGTGTATTTGAGCACACACATAGATGAATAGACAACTACTTTCAGATGTTTAAGTATATATTGTTTTTATTTTAGGGCCCTCCTGGTCTGCCTGGAACTCCAGGGCTTCCTGGGAACCCCGGTTTGAAGGTAGCTGACCAACTTCTCTCATTCTTACCCTTTCTATCCTTAGTGTATAACTTTAGGAGAATTTTAGATTATATTCATATACAATTCTGGTGAGATCTGAGGAAGTTTTTCAGCAGCATGCATTCCATGGTTTAAGACATGTCATTGTAGGCTACCTTGTTCTTTTGCATTAAACATAACATTTTATTTCTCAGGGTGATGTTGGACTTCCAGGTCCCCCTGGTCTTGATGGGGAAAAGGTAAATAATAATTAACATTTACTATAAATGAAACACATTTTAGCCACTAATCTGCCATTAGTCCACTGGTGGATGCATTTACACAACTCTCGAAACTTCATAATGCTGAGTGATTGTACCTGTTTGCTTCTTAGGGTCCAAGAGGAAAGCCAGGAGAACAGGGACCCTTCGGCCCTCCTGGACCAGAGGGACCTCAGGGAGAAGGAGGAGTCATAGGCTTGCCTGGGCCAAAAGGAGACAAGGGAGACATGGGCCCCTCAGGATCACCTGTAAGTGACTCTACCCAGCATTCCCATCATATATAGTCTGTCTGACTACACCTGAATTGTTAAATAACCACAAAAGGTCTTGCATGAAAGAATATTCTGATATCAAAATATCATAATATTCAAATTATGTACACATCATGTAAATACATTAACCCAACTGCAAAGTTAACCAAATTAAGCCAATATTTCAGTTTCTAGAAATTACGAATATATTTGGTTTATGTAAGGAAAAGTTTGGATTCATGTAACCCTCGTTTGGAATATTGACTGTAACTGAATAAAAAAGAAAGCATGCCTAGTATTTCCAGAGGACAGTGCATTTGTATTTGCCTTTTTTGGGATAATTTGGTTAAAAGAACATATTGCAATAACTGTGGAACATGTAAACATCTTTTTCAGATTAAATGCTTAACCAGAATATAGACCTTAATCAGAAAATGAGTTGCGTGTAAATGTGGTCATTGTTATTTGAGCAAGTGGGTTCATGCTGAGTGCTTTGATGAATTTTGAAAGCGTTTGTGGTGGGTGGGCAGCATTGCGTCTTGAAAGCCTACAGTTTACTAATCATTAATCCTACATGTTGGATGCTATGAATTCAAAGGCCTCTTGGTTGTGGGCCTTGTTTACAAGGCTGTCAAGTCATGTTCATCAACCCAGGCCCCCCAATTGACTTTTCTGCCAACTTTAATGTCTATTTCCTTATTCTTTCCTCATTCTTTAGGGTTTAGATGGCCCTACTGGAGAAAAGGGGGTTTCAGGGCCCCCTGGCCATATTGGATTGCCAGGCCTAATGGTACGCAATGGTGCCCCTCAAGCAAACAGATTGTTGTCATTGTTGAAAAGACACGGCATGACTTTGGGATGCAGTGTATTTCGTCATGCCAGTTTGATGTCTTTTGAATGAATGGTAGAATTCAGTATTCCTATCCTTTTGCTTTTTCATAATGTCTTCAGGGTCAGAAAGGTGAACCTGGGGAGAAAGGAGATAAAGCAGAACTGGTATGTTCCACACTATTTAGCTGCTGATTGCACTGGTTAGAGGTTTTTATGTGGTTTCATTAGATAATAGGGAAATATATTGAATGAAATGTCTTAATGGTGACTTCCTTATCTGTTCTCTCTCAGGTCTATGGGCCTGCTGGACCTCCAGGACCTGCAGGGCCAGTTGGGCCATTGGTGAGGACAATGTCTACTTCATAAAAGCTTATGATAACAGCAGACATATTACATACATATCTGTGGAGCATCAGTGCATTTTTTTTTCCCATTTGATGGTGCATTTATGAAGAGAAACTCATTTTAAACATCTCAAAATGATACTGATTTCTAATAATTATTAATTTTTGTTTATCAGGCACCTCCAGGGTTGCCAGGACCAAAGGTAAGTATTCCAACCTAATGTAAAATGAAGTGTTATTTGTCTACTGCCATATGCTAAACGAGGCATTAAATCTCATATGTTCTTTTTAGGGAGAACCAGGAATAGGCCTGAGAGGAGAGAAGGGATCACCTGGACAGAAAGGAGAGAAAGGAGACAGGGGCCATCTTGGACTCCCTGTAAGTACATTTCTGATTCTTATAATCCAGTTTTTGATACTTGATAAACGTGCATTGCATTTATAGTCAGTACAATGTAAGATAAAAATCTGTCCGATATATCAAATCGCTCATTATGAAAAATACCTGTGATACCAGTGCATAATTAATTTGATAGTTTTCATACAATCTTGTCAACTGAATCAAGATGTTTTTGTCTTTCCTGAGTGCAGCGTTAGTGGAAAAGCATGTTTTGTTTAAGGTTTGTGCTTTAGCCCCCCCCCCCACCTTAATGCAAATATCAGTGTGCTGCAATTTCATGTTCATGTCTTTGTAACTAGGCGTCATGGTTCATGGCTACGTGTCGTCACATTGCATGAATCAGTGAATATCCACATTTGGCAATCATATATACAAGTGTTATCATGTAATCATCCTGTCACATTGTTTTATACACATTTTAATAGATTACCAACAAGTTCTTGATGGTTTCAGATTACTGTAACTGACTGACATTCATGTTATTATTACAAAATACTGTATGTGGTTGTTTATAAAATGTTTTCTCTCTGCTCTGTAAATAGCATGCTATAGGTTTTGTTACTATGAATTTCAGGAGTCTTTTCCTGACGTCATGACTAGTGTATATCTATGGTGTCAAAGTCATTGATTAACTTATTCTAGTCACATCATCAATGGCACAGTAGCTCCTTTACTTTTGTTTTGAATCTGCGATATAGAAATTGAGATATCAAGAAAGTTTTCTTAAGCAGCATTTTTGTCTCGATTTTCAGTATAAAAAAGGGAATAAAAAAGTATTTTAAACATAAACCTCACAACATTGTGTTACATAAATGTTTAAAGCAAAAGCAGTTTGGAAATGTGGTAAAATAGGGGAAAAAAATAGCGCATTATGCATTTTTAAGTAAATATGAAGTAAAATAAAATTTGTTTATTGATTTTTACTGAAAACGAGATTAAAATGCTGCTTAAGAAAATGCAGCATGGATGGGTAATGTTACTTTTTCCATAACCTAGTGAGCTGCCATAATTTAAAGGCATTGTATGTTCATTTCTAGCACAAAGGCTGTTTGTTTTGTTAGCTTAGCAACATGCTATCATCAAATTTAACTTAGCGGCAGGCTAAATCAAGTCTCCTGTGCACTTCTCATGAGGAGTGCTAGCCTATTTGTGTGGCACGCAAAGTCGCTTTCTATGTATAGTGGTCCAGTTCAGTCACTTACGAGGTTGCATTTCAGTCAGCATGCTGCCTTAGAAGGCAGCAAACGGCAATGTAGCTCACTAGGTTTTGGAACCGAACAACTATTTACAAGTATTATTTTTAGTTTTTGCATCTCTTCTGGAATGTATATGCCACCTGTTGTTATTTTATCACCATCTATACGATTGAATGGACCACTTTAGGTCCTGTTCATTAGCAGTCACACTTGCACTAAGACAATAAGATGCTAAAGTCACGTTATAAGGAGTTACTGCTTGTCTCTCACATGTCATCTTCAACACGTCACCCCTCCATCAAAACTAGAGTTGTTTTTATGTGGCACACGAGTCACTGCTTCACTCACCTCCCCCCACACTTCTCCCCTCCTCCCTTCCTCTCCTCCACCTCCATCTCTCCTCTCGCTCTGTAACTCTTTACACACTGTCCAGGGGGCTCATGGTTTAGACGGCAGGCCTGGTCCAGTGGTGAGTGGCGCAAGACACATTCCCATCATCCACCCCTCTATTTCCATCCATCCCTCTCTCGTTTCCCCCTCCGCCTGCTTCTCTCTTTCTGTCTGTCTGCCTCTGCTTGAGCTGTTGCTTGCTTGCTTCTGTGTTTTGTGTCTTTTCTGTGTTGTCTAATGGTCAAGGCCTTGTTTAGATCTCTATTGAGGTTGCATCGGCATGAGTATGACTTTGTCCCTAAGCCTGTTTGGCTGTTGCCTCTTGCTGTTTCCAGAGGTACCAGGCTCGGTTGATTTCTCAACCTGTCAACACGCGAGTGACTGAAGGGGAGCATGGCCAAACACTTATAAACATCTCTCTCTCTCTGAAACGCAATTTCTCCTTCTTTGAAAAGTATGCACATCGTGCTCTACAGAAGTTAATAATCCTTTTGCATTTCATGCCGTCGCAGCCCTCTATACCTTTGTAAAAAAAATTCAGACATGCTTGACCTCTGACCTTTCAAAGGCTTAATTCCCTCCCAGCTTCAGAGCTTTATTTCATTCCATGACAAGCTTTGATCTTGTAATGTCATACCAGGAGAGAGCATGATGGGATGCGGCTGCATGAACAATGATTTCACGGCATACAACTGTACAAATGGCTGAGAAGCAAAACTCCTGAAAAAGCAAGATGTCTAACAGCCCTTCTGTTGATTCCTCTCCAAGTCATGGGAGGAAAATGGAAGATGGATTCGCTGTTATATTTACTTGTGTGTCTGTTTATTTCCACTTAGATCAACAAACTTTGGAGTTTTGTGGAATTCCTCTGCAGATTGGTCCTCGGATAGCTCTTTTTAAACATATATAAGGAGTTTAAATTGCTCTTATTCGGCTCAGAAAAGTTTGTTGATCTATTGGTGCTCAACACTGATTAGTTTCTCTCCCTCTCTAAACTCTTAACCCACCGCTGTGCCCTCTGTTGAAGCTCACGCATGTCATTTTCTTTGTTCCAAGGGTCTGATAGGACCGGTTGGAGTACCTGGGCCTGCAGGACCAAAAGGAGAAATGGTTAGTGCTGTAAAAACAATTTAGAAACAAATGCATGAGGCTTCAAAATGGGTGTTTCTAGTAATATTTTGTGTTATGCAAAATTATAAAAACCTTGATGATGCTGTAGGCATGAATGCCAGCATCATGACAACTGGGCAAATGAAGTATAGTTTGAATCACAAATAATTACATTTAGTGTTGGGGAAATTTACTTTTAAAAGTAATGCATTATAATATTGCGTTACTCCTTCAAAAAGTAACTAATTGCAGTACTTAGTTGCGTTTTATGGGAAGTAATGCATTACGTTTTTTTTGTCACCTGGACTTTAAAGGGGTCATATGATGCGATTTCAATTTTTCCTTTCTCTTTGGAGTGTTACAAGCTCTTGGTGCATAAAGAAGATCTGTAAAGTTGCAAAGACTAAAGTCTCAAA